TTTTTCGGTGTTGAAAAAGTTTGTTCTACATGTCTAGTCTATGTGTTCTCTGGTCAGTGCTATTACTAATAATTTTATTAAAATGTGCTCCATTGCCATTCGGCGCGCAACATTAAAATTTTGGGCGCTACCTTGACGACCATATGTCAAACGGTGGGGTTACAAAAATATTGTTTGGATTGGCTGTAGTATTTCTCATAAATGAGTGCATTAACATATGTATTTGTCATAAATGCGGTTCTTGCCTCTTTTATAGCTGAATCCAACATACAAGAAAAGAATCTCTCTAAATTATCACAATTTCAGGAGAAGAACGTTCCCAACGAATATATTGTGACCTATCATTCAAAATACTATACGCAAGTTAGAAATTCATTTATTTCAAAGAGGCTAAGAGGAAATGTGTGTAATATGCATTTATAAATCAATGGCTTACAAATAAATGACACTATATATTTTTAGGTGTTAAATTGGTCAATTATATCCCGCTATAACTTAGCTAGTCATTACCCAAGTGATTTCGACATTTTGCATATATCGGATACAAATTACACTTTAATTGAACAAACACTCAGCTTTATCAGAGCCCATCCCGCTGTTAAACGAGTTTCTCGTCATCATTATGTTCAAAGACTTTTATCATACAATAACACAGACAGCACCGCATACAATATTCGCCATCCGCAAGGAGTTGCGCGGGATAAGTACGCGAAGTCCGGGCAGCAGCAGCATGTGGCTGCCTCCTTATATGCGGACGTTCTTTGGAAACTTGGAATTACGGGGAAGGGTGTTAAAGTTGCAATTTTTGATACCGGCTTAACTCAAAATCATCCACACTTTCGAAACGTCAAGGAGCGAACGAATTGGACAAATGAGAAATCTTCTGAAGATGGCGTGAGCCATGGGACGTTCGTTGCAGGTGTAATAGCTTCTTCAAAGGAGTGCCTTGGATTAGCTCCAGATGCAGAGTTGCATATATATAAAGTTTTCACGAATTCTCAGGTAAACATCGAATTACACAAGCCGAAAATTTGGCAGAAGCTATTACTTGAAATCAGACTAAGATTGGAATCTAAAGAATTTACCATTGGATTTAGAACGCCAAAAAATATTGAAAAATTATAATCTGATTCTTAGTTACCTAATTCAGTTTCCCTACCTATTTATACCATAATATCCATTTTTTTTTTAATTAAAGGTATCTTATACTTCGTGGTTTTTAGATGCTTTCAATTATGCCATTTACAAAAAAGTGAATATTATCAATTTAAGCATTGGAGGGCCAGATTTTATGGACTCCCCATTCGTCGATAAAGTTCTAGAACTATCAGCAAATAATATAATAATGATATCGGCCGCTGGAAATGATGGTCCCATATACGGAACTCTGAATAACCCGGGTGACCAAAGCGATGTTATCGGCGTTGGAAGTATTAATTTTGACAATCAAATCGCCAGATTTAGTTCTCGAGGAATGACAACCTGGGAACTTCCTGTTGGTTATGGTAGAATAGGTTTAGACATTGTCACCTATGGCAGTCAAGTTGAGGGAAGTGACGTACTCAAGGGATGCAGAAGGTTATCAGGAACTTCAGTCTCATCGCCAGTTGTTGCAGGAGTCGCAGCTTTGCTCAGGAGTGGCGTTTCACATAAAATAGAATTAGTCAATCCGTCATCCTTGAAACAAGTGCTTGTTGAAGGTGCTGAAAGGCTGGCGAATTATAATATTTTTGAGCAAGGTCAAGGGAAACTAAATTTGTTAAAAAGTATGCAGTTGTTACTATCCTACAAGCCAAAAATTAGTCTTATCCCATCTTCGATCGATTTCACATCAAGTTATATGTGGCCTTATAGTAGCCAACCACTGTTTTATGGAAGCGCTGCTGCGATTGTAAACGTTACAATTCTTAATGGCATATCTGTAACTGGTAAAATTATTGGTCAACCGAGATGGGTACCAGATCCTCATAATTTTGGTCGGTACCTTAACATTTCTACATCTTTTTCAATGACGCTTTGGCCTTGGACTGGATGGATGTCAGTTTACATTGGTAAGAGAGTAAAAAGACTTCTTTAGTCGAAACTCCTGGATATACCCAGATATACCCTGAACAACACATTTACATGCACACACACACATTCCCACACATTTCCATTGCGTAAGACAAGTAACATTGCCCTCATCATATTATTTTTATACCATGGACTAGGGTTACCATCTGGGCCAGAGGCCCACACTCACTATAAATAAATGAAACGTAAATTAAGTTTTTCTGTTTTTATATTTAGCATCATACATGTGAATATATCCTTATACATATATAATTTTTGTTATATTCATGATAGCCTGACTTATACTCCTCCACACTGTACAGACATTTCTTTCATCCATCAATACCAAATTATATTAAACAATATGTATGTGCTTAACATTCTCTTTCGTCTGACCACTGCATATTTAATAAGGCAAAAAATTTGTATTTGTATTGTGCTCACGAATCGGATTCAGGATTTGAGCTATCTTTAATACTTCTGAGTCACGTTTGTTGCAAAAACTGTACTACCTTATCTGCGCTGCTTTTCTCAAAAAAATCTTCATTTGTCTCGACAAAGAGTTCTTCAAGTTTACAATTTGGGTCGCATTTTGTCAAAATGACGATTTTTTTGTTAGGTCGGGACACCGGGACATTACGTCCAGAAGCGGGACATGTCCCGGAATTCCAGGACGGATGTCCTGGACGGAAGTCCTGTCCGTCCGTATGTATGAAATTTTTTTCCTTTTGAGGTAGAGTCTGCAAATTTTAAATGTATTCACGTATGTATGTATTTTATGCCATTTAGATTTTTGTTGTAATTTACCCCTACCCTTATATAACCCATATATATATACCCTAACCCATATATTTGGAAAGGCGTATTTGCTTTGGCACACACTTTAATGTTATAATTACGATCTGAAAGTTTTATGAACATAGTCCATCAAAAAGTTATTAAGCAAGTAAGTTTCCATAGTAAGCCTACACTGCATCCAATGCGTATTTATGCTTGCATCCCTATGTTTTTCTGAGTGTGTTTTTCTTGTGAAAGTTCAATTCTTCGAAGGGTTCAGGGGATTTCGAAGTCGAGCAGTCTCGACTAGAGCTTTCTTACTTGCTTGTAATCAATAATTAGTTATTATCGTAGCCAATGGTGTGTTTTATAAAATGAAGTATTTTCTAATTTCAGTTGTTAATAGTGAAGCACAGAACTATGAAGGTATAGCCAAGGGACGTATAATATTATTGATAGATAGTTTCCCAATTGGCACAAATACGACTCTACGAAGGGAAGTAGAGTTGCAACTGACAATAAAAATTACACCAAAGCCACCCCGGCACAAAAGAATTCTGTGGGATCAATTTCATAGTCTAAGATATCCACCAGGCTATATACCAAGAGACAATTTAAAGATTAAAACTGATCCGCTCGATTGGAGGGCAGATCACATTCATACAAATTTCCGTGACACATATATTCATTTGAGAAACTCTGGTTATTATATCGACGTGTTAAGAGAACCGTATACTTGCTTTAACCCCAATGAATATGGAGTTTTATTAATCGTAGACCCTGAAGAAGAATTCTATGACGAAGAGATATCCTGTCTCGAAAATTATGTTTACGAAAATGGCTTAAGTGTTATTATATTTGCGGATTGGTATAATACAACGGTAATGAGACACATTAAATTTTTTGATGAGAACAGTAGACAATGGTGGATACCTGATACTGGTGGGGCTAATATTCCAGCCCTAAACGATCTTTTGAGACCTTTTGATATATCTTTCGGTGACTTTGTTGGTGAAGGGCACTTCAAATTGGGAGACCATTCAATGTATTATGCAAGTGGAGCAACGCTTAAAACATTTCCAAATAATCGAGATGATGTAGTTATTGGAACCAATTTAAATGATCAAGGCGCATCGGTAATAGCTTTAATTTTAATAAACATAAATATTAATTTTAACATTTCCACCTCTATTTAAGATTATTACAAACGGAAAATCGCAAAATATTTATGCGAAACAATTTTTACCTATAATGGGATTATTTCAAACTAATTCCAATGGTCGGTTCCTTAATAAAACGAAGAATCGAAGGGACCCTCCAGCTAACGAAAGCATTAAGGACTGGGATGTTCCATTTAATCATTCAATTTTAGAAAATCGAAATTTGTTCAGTGCGACCGTCACAGGTCGTATTGCAGTCTTTGGCGATTCCAATTGCTTAGATTCCTCGCACATGGAGAAAGCATGCTTCTGGCTTTTGACAACCATATTGGATTTTGCGATGAATTCTCATAAATCAATGTTATTAGACAATTTGAATCGAATTTCAGAGTTTAGGGAAATGAAGGAAACGGCTTTACCTATCAGAATGCCAGGTAGTAATTTAAAAAAGTTTTCATTGGTGGTCAGACATAAGAAGAAGTTTATATTGCAATGCGAAAAACTGGATTGGATAGTGGCAACAACGTTAGCCATTAGCCCAACGTTAGAACTGGATGTCGATAGAATCGAAGGTATCTGATAAGCTATTGAATTATTTCATCATATAAAACTAACAATTTACTCCATTTCAGGAAATCAAAATAATAATATTATTGCTAACTTGAATACTGAGCTTGCCAAAATAACTTGGAATAATGATAAATACGTTTCGGACCAAATCGACAATAATATTAAGATATCCGTTTTATTTATGATAACACTCAGCTTAACTGTTATTATTGTTTTTATATTATTCTTAAAAGGAAAAATAGGATTTAGTTCTTTTAAATAAAATATATTAATAAAATATGAATATACTCTTTATACTTCTTGAAGGAGTACTGTGAGTACAAGTACATTATTTATTTCGTGTTTGAAATTCTTATAAAATAATATTTAAATATTCTTGTGAATATACTATCTTCATGAAATGAAGATAATCACGATTATAATAAGGAAATGCGTGCAAGGCACAAGTCTCTAGTACCTGAAATACGCTTTTTACAAATTTAGTTGTGAGGGGGAGGATATAAGGGTTGGGGGTGAATTATAACAAAAATCGGAATTATATAAAGTACATATAAATCTACATTTAATATTTGGAGACTCTAGCTCTAACGATGTAAGAGATATCTATATATATAAAATAGAGTTGTGTAAAAGTGTTCCGAGACTTATAACTTGATATGTGCTGGACCAATTTTGATGGTTTTTGATTTGTTGGATTTGTCTCCGCCACGAGTAGGATCTTAAAAACACTGAAAAATTTGACGAAAAACGCGGTTTTTTCCCTACAGATTAAAATTTCCATTGATACTCAGTAGGCTTGATAACAAGACAGTTTTCGGTCCTGCTCTCATATTATACAATAGTATAGAAGTAAATAAACAAACTCAGTCAGTCAGTCTACGGCACAGCCTCAAGCGAACCTGACTATTCATAAAAAAAAGCACATTTGATAAAAATGATACGCGTGCGTACAGAAGCTAAATATCTCGAAAGTTCAGGTATTTGTTTGTCTCAAATATAAATTTGTGTAAATTATTTATATTTATATTTCTCGATTGTTTTATGAGATTTTGTGCGAGGGCATATTCAGTGTTACTATTGATAAAAATGCCGCGTCCTAGAAGATCTAATCTTTCCCGGCGGACCCATGATGCAATTAGGCAACGNCCATTGAATGAAGCATATAACAAGAATCTACATCTGCATTGCTAAATAACGGACTTTAATCAGCTGCAAAGTTTGTGGTTGAAATAAGCTGTGGAATTTTTTTGGTCTCATTTTTTAGTTTTTAAGCAATTTTAAATCTCTAAAAAATATTTAAAAAATAAATTTTTATTTATTTTTATTTTACAAAGTTAGCTATAATACACAAGAATATTAAAGCTAAGTATATAATAAGAGCGCTAGCGACCAGGCCTTCGGACCTATGTAGGATTATATCTTATTTGTTAAATTACAATCTTGTAAATATCTATATATTTTATTTATATTTATTGTTGTGACGTAGGGTAAGATGGATGAGGGTAGTATATTTGGAAAATGAGCTTTTCTAATGCTAACTAATTTTTTGCAGGTGTCCAGCAGGTGTGCGGTAGAGAGCTCTAGACCACATAAGTGGCAGTTCCACTGCTACTGCTGTGTCCTATCCGGAGGCGGGTGAAAATAGTGCTTTTCGTTCGGGATGTGTTGATAGGGAACTTGACTTTCTCCAAATTTGGGTTGCAGTTCCTGTATCTGTGATGAAAATTAGCCCAGATTTCGATTTTTTGCGAGTGGAGCTGTTTGAGAATAACTTTTCGCAGATCTTTTTCCGCTGAAGGGAGTATCATGATTGTGGGATACTTTGACATTGCTTTTGCTGCATTGTCAGCCAACTCATTGCCCCTAATGCCCCTGTGGCTGGGAACCCAAAATATGTTAAGTTTTAGAGGGGTTTTTATTAAACTTTCCCGTATCTGGACGATTGTTGGGTTTGTGTTAGATAGATTTTTGACAGATTCTACAGTCGATAGGCTATCGGTACATATCGTAAACTTTCCAGTTCTGCCTTGTGCGTAAACGATGGCTTTCAGAATAGTAGTGTTCCTGCTGATAGAATTTTACCATTGATGTCAACGCATGCGAATGCAGTGAGTTCAGCTGATTTTGTTGCGTCAGTGAATATCCACGTTCGATTAACATAAAATTCCTTGGCTGTTTCATTATAAAATAGTTGGCGGAAAGTTTCCCCGTTTGTGTGATTTTTTGGAAATTCCTGTAGCCCGCAGTTAATAGAGGATTGGCTAAGAAGCCATGAAGGGGCGCTGGGGATTTTCGGTGTTGTTGGAGTTGCGATATTCCATTCTTTGGAGAGAGCGGCGCATCGGCGTATTGTGGAGAGGTATCGGTAGGTTCTCCGTTG